CAGTTCGACTGAGACTAGAATTTCTATTTATTCCCTTTCGTATGAGGATGGTAGGATACTTGTCCTTGAGACAGTCAAGCTCAATCCAAATATTCAGGGGACTAGACCAAATATGACCCTATCTGACCCAAAAGCTGTTCATGACAATTATATAATCATGATAAAAGAATGGATATTTGGACAAGCGGTTTGATCGATCAAGATGTCCTTAAATCGTTGTACTATCTTTCTAGCACTATTCAGTACTTGTCCAGATGTTCTCGACATAGTCTGAAATAATATCTTTTTTCTAACGAATCAGTATGAAGTCCATCCAAATCGTGGATATACATCTTTTCCAGACTGCACCCAATATATGGGTTGCTATTGATAATTTAATTTGATCTGGAGTTATTGTTACATGAAAAACCCCGAGTGATTGGGGAAACTGATGCATGAAAATGAATACACTCTTATTATGCATATCACGTAGATGAAAATGTTCATATAGGGCGGGTGTTTGTGTCGATTACAGTTATGCGGGTGATCTTAAAGCTTATCTGTTTTTGAGAGGCATGCTGATCGATAGATAACAAAACACAAATATCAGTAATTTCTGGAGTAATGGTATGTCAAATAAATAGTAAGTGGATGAAGTTTTCCCGGAGAATTAGAACGACAACAACGACTTTAGTGGTGTTCGTGCACATTATTCTGGTTTTGCCCAGCACACGAACAGAACCAAATGTGGTCGAGACAAGTGAGATGCACGATTGAAAGCATCTTTTTTTTAAACATCGATTTACGAGTGGGCTCACACAAACACGGACAATTTCAACTGGTCATTGGATGTTTCTTTTTTTTAATTAGTTCACAAACTGTGCTAAAACGAGTGAAAGCATTCCAGAGAGAAAAGTTCTCAAAAATTGGTCGTGCCCGGAAAATTCAAAAGCACTCAAGATTGACAAGTTGACAGCTGAACAACAAAAAATGTGTCTGTTCTTTGTGAAATGACTTTACTAGTTATACGGTTGTGAATAAGTACCATTTGTGCGTACGTGTACGAGCGCATTTGGGATTGATGGTTTGGTTGTTTGACAGCGAAAACCACTGCCATATATACCTGGGACCGAAAGGATTTCAAGGAGTGAAATACACTTCAACTGTTGCAGGCGATAGCAGAAGATTTTGAAGTTTCAAAATTTTCCAAAAGCTGATATCCAAATTTGTGACAAAGAAAATATTGCAAATTAAAATCCGCTTCTCCAGCAAACAATTAAAACAAACAAAAAATGTCATGCCTTGTTGACAAAAGGATCACAGTGAAATGCAGTGTCAGTGTTTCCATAATTAAAATGCACGGATCATACTAATGCATGTCACCATCTTCACCACAGACTCGAGTGGAGGCTGAGGTCTGCACAACCGATCCATCTGTCATGCTCTCCTGAAATCTCTAAAATGGTAGTGACCCTTCTGGTGATCACAATGCGCCCATTGATTCGTGAAGTAGACCGATCCACTGGTAAATCAAATGTGTGGGATATTTATATACTTAAATTCGACAATGCAACTATTTCCCGCCAAAGGATAGGCCAGTTTCACGGACATTACAATGATGTGTAGAGATTCCCGGGTCAAGACAGTATAAGTGGTTTCTCCACTTACTCCGGTTGGTGTATTTTAGATTTCAGTTCGCGTCTTGAACGGCAAGTTAAGGTAGTACGATTCTTCTAGATAACTCGGTGGCAGATAGAACGTGGCAAAGGGCGACGTTCTTATTATTGATGGGTACATTCTCCATAGCATAATACAGTCGTCGGACTCAGTAAACCTGAGTTGGCCTTATCTAATTTCGGAAGCCTCTCTTCTAAAACTGAAATCGAAAAGCACCGAGTAGCATGCAGCTATCATTTAGTAACCAAGTATCTATTCGCATAGTAGAGCAAAACCAATGAAGAGAAAAAATGTCAGCTGAAATGTACTGGGATTCGAAACAGTCGTTCGAACAAACTGTCAAAGCCGTAATACCGAATCTACTTATTTGAAATCCATCAGGTTAAATAATACGTTTGGGAAAGTACTCTAGCCTACCTCTGAGCTAATCCAAGGTGAACTCATTTAAGTTGCCATCAGATAAATTTACTCCGTAAATACCGGGAAAGAAAAGAACTAAACAAATGATTATAATAACGTCTTAGTGAAACAATTATTTTTCATTATTCTGTTAGTAAACCATTACCAAATCATATGGAATACACTTAGAAACAAACAAGTCAAACAATAAAACACCTGTGGTTAGAAAAATATGGAATACGGATTTCTCCTGGTCAACTTGGTTCTTTTTATGTGATCGGTTTAACCAGCTTACTGTCTCCTGTTATGCGAACGCAGCGATCCCTTTGTTTGACACTAGCCGCTACTAAGAAGCCAAATGCGAGTAGAATTTAACAAGGCCTACACAATAGTATTTTTCATAGCTGAGTGTGTAATGAACAATTACTTTATATTTTCGGGATACATCTATGCCCAAAATGGACAGGTGGGGGGGGGGACGTTGCCGGGTCCGAAAAAGCGTGTGGAGAAACCTGCTAGTTTGGAGTGGCCAACGAACTAACTAACCGATAGTTTCTGTAGATGAGAAACACTCTTTTCGAGAACGGATACGCCGATTGGTTCATTAAAAGTGAAAGGACTGATCGAATACGAAACCGTCTCATGAAAATGGTTGGACGTTTTGATTAGTTTGCCATTTAAATGATGCATTATGAGCGAAATGCTGGTCCGATATCTCGGCAAAGTAAGCAGTAATAGCTTCAACGCAGCCCAATTACGTAATGCGCTTGAAGGTAGTCCTGTGAACTGGAGAATTTGTGGGGTTTTACGTCATATGCCTCTGTGTGTGCTCTGTAAGATACTCTTATGATGCATATGATTTAAGTAGATAGGTACCGGGGATCTAGTGAATCTGGAAGCCGCGTCCAGAAAATGTTTTTCATATAACTTTCTCTCGTCTGATTAGTGCAGATGTTCAGTTGTGCACTCTAGCATTGGCTGATGCGATCGGAGCAAGGAAGGTGACCACCTGACTTCTGTGTCCGGTTTAATTAAAGCGACTCCAATGGCCCGTTACAGATCAGGGCTGAATGACTTCACTGACTATTTACCCCAAGGGTGAAAACTATTTGAACGGATCACATGACACAGAAATGTTGACCCGAAGAGAGTTTTAAACATGACTGCTACTAACTGTTTTACTAGGTTACCTAATTTTTTCCTGCTGTTTCCTACACAATCTGTAAGCGGTGTTAAGACAATTCAACGGAAAGCTATTATTTCATCAAACACGTATGTTCACTAAGCTAATTTTTTTCAATGTGCTCCACTTTTATATTCCGGGAATCAGTAAATCTTACTTTTCGAACATTTGTAAAGCGTACCTTCTTCCTTTGGGTCGCTTCATGATCTGTCATAGATAAATACTATAAAATCACAACAGTTTGACAAAATGAAGTCAATCCTGTAGGAGCAAAAACTGAAACGAGGTCAATTATTGTTTCCCAGGGGGAGCGCTCGTATTCGAACACATTTCACCAGCTTTGAATACTAAACGCGCTGGACGGGGGAGTGCTTGCCTTACACAAATTTATAAACATTTATCAATTTGTCGTGCTCTTAAAAATGACTTGAATGGAGAAGAACTCAGCGGGGAAATATTCAAGTGTGTTGTTCATGTAGCAAATCTCTTTGAAAGAAACGAAAGCTATTTTGTTGTTACTCATTTGAAAAAAACGCATAAATCACGGAGGGGTTGAATTCACTTGGAAAATATGAGAATAAGCGTTGGTGATCAAGATGGTGGTNTGGTGGTCATCAGACTTATGGATCAGTCTAAGCTAGACGGGTCGTGGTTCGAGTCCGACCCGGGGCAGAAACATGGCACACAACGATGCCCACACATTCGTTCAATACTGTCTGTTAGCCAATCAGTATCCTGGCTGTTGAAATTTTTATCAATCATAGACCAACAGAAAATCGCGTTTTTAAACAACGGTATTTTTGGGACCGAAGTAGTCAATGCAATGTGTGAATACACTGAAAAACGTTTATAAAAGATAGATGTCAGCAAAAGAACTGGTGCAAATAGTTTTCTCGTTAATTAGAGGTACGTCAACAAAAGAAATATATAGATCACACTATTCACTGTTTTACATAAAAAGCTCTACGTTTGTTTTGTTCAATGTAAATCTATACATTTTGGTTTAGGACTAAAATACGCATCTGCGATGCATAAAGAGCATTTTCCCTCCTTTCCTAAAAGGTCTACATTTGGTTAGTTCTCTGTAAACATATACCTGGAGATATCATAATAGAGTAGTGAAGCATTTGGTATTTTTATTAAGCGAGTTCGGTTGCTTGCATAACAAACAAGACATGAACTAAAGAATTAGGAAGCACCATACAGCTTCTTTCACCTGATTGGATCTCAACATCGGTGCAAATTCACGGACCCTAGAGGTGATCGAACCCTCGAATCCCTCGAAAGCATAATACTCGATTGACCAATGGACAACTTCAACGCATAAAATCCCCCCTGAAAATAAGTCCACATAACTAATTCGAGCTATCTTTTATCCACATGTAAGAAGCTTATCATTCACAGAGGTCCGTTCCAGCCAGTGGGTGACCAATACAGTTGAACACCTCCCAATACTGTGGTGACACCAGTCAGAATATTAAGGTGACCAACTTAAAGCTCGGAACATCGTATTTGCGAGCCTCATTACATAAGCCTAGTATTTTCCTCCTGTTTGCGTCGTACAGAAACCCTTTAATTGACCACATCATCCTGCGCAAAAGTTCTCTGTGGAATTGTTAACTCAATGTAAAGGTTGGAGCCAAAAATAAAGGAACATGTTAAACCGGTACTCGAAAACAACCAATGAAGTGATGAATAACAGCGAATTTTCTTATGATACCTCATGCAAATAAAACGTAACCGCATTGGTTTTGAGACTTACGTGGAGTCAAACTGACGCATAAACTCCGCGTACTGGATATTACCTTCCGGGTCCAGAGGGAGACGATCCAGAACTGAACGGAAACCAGTTTCCGAATAGCCAAACCCGAATTGCGTTTGAAGCACTGTTTTGAAATTTGCCGGAGACAGGGTGCCCTGTTTGAAATGGTCATGTTCCCTGTTAAAAATTGAAAACAAAATTTGAAACTGAACAGAATTGATTTTTTTCGGTTGCAGCATGGTTAGGGAATCGGAGAACTGTTGTGGTTCACGAGTCAGCAATTGGCTCACGTTCTCGATGTGTCGGCACTCTGGGCATATATCCTTATACCGACAAACCTGATAAAAATGCGGATATTCATCACGTTTTCTGTCGTATTGTTGTATCTTAGCTGATGGATATCAGAGATAGTTCAATAACTGTATATCGCAACTGTCATTCGAGGGACACATTCTCCAAACGGAATGCCTTTAGTTATAAAATACATATACGTGGATACTGTTTAAGTGGCTATTAGATGGCGTGAGGGCAATTTGAAAGTTGCCAGGTCAACAAACTGAACTGTTTGTTGAGCAACAAAACATACAAACAGAGCAACGTGATAATGTGATTGCAAATTTTACACTTGTTCGATAGATCTGTTAAACGCATTCCGAAACTCAAATTCTTTGATTGAACACGGTAAAATCTCATTATTTCCCGGTGCTAATACTATGCTACAGATAGACAACTGAAAACACATCATCAAAATCATTGAATAGCGAAATACAGTGAGGCAAACTTCGCTGATCGCTACCAAACTCACAATGCATACAAGATAAGTGGCAATATTTAAGGTAAACAGGGATTGAACCTATTTTGAGAGAGTGAGAAGAAGGTAAACCTCTGTAATCAACACCAAGCACACAGTCGAACTCTCTGGAGACGATAGGATCACCTAGCTATACGTGATTCCAGGAATATATATATCCAAAAGAGAGTTGCGGAGACATTAGAATTTGCGTAAAGGTGCTTCCGAAATGGATGCTTGAATAAAAGTGTTTGATAGTCTGCTTGGCACGCTGTAGGTGCTAATTAACAATGTAGTATTTTGTGGTCATAGAGATGCAACTGTTATAACTTTGCATATAAGATCTATCTCAGCTGAATAATTGATAATCTGGTTCATCGTGATATCTTCTAATGCTCATATTATTATAACAGTGAAATAAATGAAATCGTAAGTGTTACTAGAATACGGTTTGGGGAAAAGCAAACACTGGTGAACGAAATCATCAAATTAATTAATTAACATTAATTTCCATTGCATATTTACGAAATTTTTCACTGTTTTCCGTTTGAATGCAAGAACAACTCATAGGGCAGAACAAACAGCCTGTTGGTTTATTTCCTCACTGTGTTTTGTGCATGTGTGTGAGTGTGTGTGTGTGGAAGTGAGAATTGCCACTTTTTCAAAGCAAGACTGACGTTTCTAAAACGGTAACCGGTTGTTCTCCGATTGTCAAGTTCACTTTATGCAACAATCTTCGCGTCCCAATTCTCATACCTCCTTTTGTTTTACGAAGTTTACAGTCCGTCAGTTTGTCAAAAACGAGAAAAATACATTGCTTAGGTTGTTCGTCTTCTTTCTCAGGCAGAATTTAAGCAGAATTAGGCCGTGGTGATATGTAAAATGTTAAATATCATCAACCGATAGTCCCTGTGCATGTGAACAAAGAAATAAGTTGCAACTGGATACGGAATGCTGATTCCGTATACTTAAAATTATTGCTCATTTCGAAAACTTATCTAATGATGATGTTCGTAGGAAATCATTGGTGCCTATCGTATCGATGATTGTTAACAAGAGAACAAGAAGTTCCCCACAGATGGTCAGGGTTCAGAATGGAAACAAGCTTTTAATGCAGTCATCATTTACACCCAATTCTCTTTTTGGGAGCAGGTCAAACTGATCACGACGGGATAGGTCGCTTTGTGTGTGTATCGTCCACAATAGTCACTAATTAACCAACGCTTTCGTTCTACAATTGAGAAATTCAATTTGTTAGGCACGGTGGACGAATAACGTAATGCAAAATATGGGATTTTCATGCAATAAGGATTTCCCAAACCCGTTTGTTGATCCATTCCACAATCGATTGTATACCGCATTAGATCATTACAATACTATTTTCATTGATCATCTGCATGCTTATCATCATGCTCCATACAGTGTTCGATTTCGCGCAGAACAAACAGTGAAAAACCCGATTTTTTCCTCACTTGTGATAAAATCCGATGCCTGTCCAAGTATCAATCCCGAAGATGTTGGTAAATTTAGGCACAGAGTATACCTTCAATCTCATGCTACGTCGCACCCATCGGAAATTGAAAAAGTGAGTAAATCACAGAATTTGTGGCACAGAATGTTGGCCGATAGTGTATGCTAATTGAAGATTGCGAGCTGTAGTTGATCGATCTCCACATTGAAGAAAAGTGCTACTCCAATAGTGGTTGTTGATCCGATCCCCGTAAAATCGGGTTCATTGATGATAGTGATCCCTTCGTACGCTGACGTTACCGCCACACCATAGGCGAGAGCAGCTCCTGAAACCGCACCGCGGCGAAAACAGTTGTTAATCTTCCTGAGACCGGAACGACCACGGCTCAGGACAGATTAGATCATGACCTGCAGTTGCTGCGGTCGCACATAGTGACCCTGATTGCAGGTGCCGAGGCGGAAACCGCAGCATCAATCCGGGTGACAGTGGCCTTCTGGCTTAGGAAAATTCGAAGGGTAACTCTCCATGACCACTGAAAGTGGTTCTTTGAGTAGAGGATGAAGCCTATGCGATACTCCGTGAAACCTACAACCTGGATGGAAGTTGCGGCAAGGTTAGTTCGGGATCTTGATACGGACGAGCGCAGTAAACTCAAACTCAGAGAGCACCGTGGGCAGGGCGAGATTTACTTTTGCATATGGCATTTTATAGTACATCGGAAGTGCCCTAAGCTGCGTTCGCTACCTTTGAAAGGAGGGAGGATGCAGGGGACTATTTAAACGTCAATGGGGGAATCAGGATGAGATATGGATGGCCAGGTAACCACGCGGTGCGGGCCTCGACGAAAATCCGAGGGATACTAAGCAAAATGAATAAACTGGAAGACTGGATTTTATAAAAAAACAGATTTCTTTGCGATCAGTTAGATCTGGTTGTCACCAGTGTCAGGGATTCCGAAATCTCAGTAGACGGTTGTACAGTGTTTCAAACGAATCGATCATCTTCACGTCACGGTGGCGGAGCTGTCCTTTTCTTCCGTCTGGGTATAACTGTTCCATTGCTGGAGAACCACGCTCAGCCGGAAGGATTCGTCAAAGCACTGCGGTGAAGAAGCAAGCTTTGTGCCGGAGGATAACCCACGTGTGAGTGTTCTACCAAACACTGTTGGTGTACATCTTGAGGGTGCTGGCTGGCAGGCAGAGGCACACTTGTGACGGGCATTGTCTTGTCTTGGATGACTTTAATGCGCCACATTTTGACTGGAGAACTGACATCTATCGTCAGCACGCGACTTTGTGGTGCAGACGGCTTCATTCTATTGCCAATGCTGTCTCACTAGTTCAGCATATCCAAAACCCACCTGGATGGATGGTGAACAGAAATCCACCTTCGCATTGGTGTTCTCTCTGAGGCAATCAGATGCGACCAAGATTGACTTCCTCCTACCGATTTCATCTAATGATCACTCAGTTTTGCTATTACACCGAAGGATCAACGTACCGCACACAGACAGATCACAAGATGGACGAAATGTGTGGCGCTTACCCCTTACTGAGATGCGTCAAGCTGCAGCGCTCATGACATGGGATTTTCATTACCCTGAGGATGTGCATGAATCTTGGAAGTTGGTACTTTACGGGATTCATCACCTCGTGCAGGAACTCACTCCACCCTACCACCACCGAACATATGCTATGGGTCCACTGTGATTTGACCGAGAACGGAGGAGGTGCCGCCGACAGCTAACCAGAGCTTGGTTCAGGTGTTCAGGTGTTGCCTAACAGGCACGGGATTTGAGGAATGCCGAGTAATTTGGAATCAGTGAACTGCACTGAAGAAAGGCAAGAGGACTATATTCGAGCAACAACTTGCAGCGGCTGTATGACTACCTCAGACGCCGAATCAGAACTACTCCGCGTCTTCCGACTCTCGTCAAAGATGGGGTAGTTGCTGAAAAGGCTTGGGACAAAGCCGCAATGTTTGCATCGCATTATGCCTCGGTGTGTTTCCCGAATCCTGACACGTCGCCACATCTACTGAGCGCTGACACTGCCACATGTTGGATTCCATTTACAATCGGGAAGTCGCCTTAGAGCTGCATCGGCTGAATGTTCATCAATCACCTGGACCTGATGGTGTGCATCGGCTTATCCTGAAGGAGCTGACGGACGAAATTGCAGTGGCGTTGTACAATCTGTTTAATGTCTTTCACACAAGAACACTTACCGCGGCACTGTCATTGTGCCACTACTCAAAGGCGGAGACAAGAGTGATTTTGTAAACTACAAAACTGTCAGCCTTACTGGTGTGGTGAGTAAAGCAATGGAACGAATGCTGAGTGCACGGCTTCGGCCTTATTTGGTGTCATGGTCACCTGTGCCACCAACAACACGGCTTTCTTCCGGGTCGCTCATGCCACTTGAACCTGCTACAAGCTCATGCGTGCTGGACTAGAGAAAAAGCTAAAGGACATGACACAGACATCATCTTCGTGAGCTTCGGCAATGTCTTTGATAAAGTGTCATACAGCCGCCTTCTGCGAAAGCTGTCCCATTTTGGCTGCAAGACTTCCTTACCGACAGGAAATTCTTATCTTTTTATCTTTTTATTTTACTTCCTTTTATTGAATATACAAAGATACAATCTTTCAGGACGGGGGAAGCGGCCAATCAAAGGGCTGCCATTCGACACAATAGAGAAAATCAGGCGGTGGTGGTGAGATTGCGACACACGTCCCCGGGGTGATAATTTGGTTACGTCACCAACTTGCCACCATCGCGTCCGTGTAGTCAAATCGCTATCTGCTTGGTATCCTGCCTCCAGTGGGGTCCGCAGAGCTCTGTTCTTGGTCCGCTCTTTTTCGTGGTTTATGTCAATGACCTATCCGGTCAGCTGCGCAGCCCATCACTAATCCAT